GTATAGTGTTGACTGAACGGTCAGAGAGCGGACTGGTCGGGGCTAGGAAACTGCATCTGAAGCATCCTGAACAAGCTAACTGGTGAATGGACATTCTCAGCCTTAAAATAAATTAAAACTTATGCCAGAAACGCGACAGAACAGACTCGACTTTCAGGGTTAGCTTCCATGGTGACAGAAAAGACAGTGCTGAAATGGAAACACCATGATGATCTGCAGGACAGAGGAACTGAACTCTGACAGGGAAGAAAGTAGGATGTTTGTGTACAGATATTTTATATTTTTATCAATTTAATATGTCCATATTGATGCTTTTTGTTAAATGTGTGATGCAGCTGTGGCTGCAGTTTGAAGAAAACTTATTTGGTTTTGTTAATTGTGTTTCTTCCTTCAGTAATGATGGCATCCATTCTCTCTACATAAGATACCCATCTGCAGTGTTTCCCCTAGTTAACTTGCCATGGCAGGGTGCTTATTTCATCCATGAGTTTTGTTGACGGGGGGGCGGAGACATGTCTGAGCACAGCTTGTAAAGTTTTTGAGCGGGGGGTGTTCAGTATGAGGGAAGAGGCGCCTTTAGCTTTTTAGCTAGAGCGCCTGTATTGCGTGCTGCTAGCTTAGCGTGACACGTTTGAGTTGTGCGCTGTTCAGGTTTTGAGTGTGTATGTGTGGTGTTCAGCTTGAGAGAAGAGGCAACATGAGCGCTGCCTTTAGCTTTTTAGCTAGAGAGCCTGTATTTAACGCTGCTTGCTTAATGCTATGTCAGTGCCAGGTGGTGCGGGGGGGCAAGTTCGGTTTTGGTAGGTGGGGTGCTCAGTTCTGTAGACGGTGTGGGGCACCCCGCTTGTATAATGGTAGCGGAAACGCTGCATCTGTGATGCAGTGCCTTATTATACCGTGTTCTGTGTATTGTTGGTTGTTTCTGTGGCCGTGGTGTCATAATGTCGGTATTAAGAGGTGGATAAATTCAGTCTGGACATCATGAAGGCCTAGAAGTAAAATACTTGTCCCTCCGCTGTATTTTAGCAACTAGAAACTATAATTAAAGTATTTCTGTGCGTTTCTCTTCACCTCCTCTATATTTTACTTGGGCATTTTGTCAGCTGTGAAGAGAGTTGTATGAAAGCTGCAGGAGAGGATTGATTAAATAATAAATGATGATATGAGATGGCACTCCCTTTTATTTATGGAAAGCTTTTATCTTTTCAAACTGTGTTTGTTTTTTCTCCATGGTGCCACTCCTGTTGTGCTGTTTTTAATTTGTTGTCTGCTGTATTTCTCTTACTTAAAAAAAATCATGTTTAATGTTTCATAGATCGGCTGGAATGAGTTCTGTATTTGTTGCTTTATTACAACATTTTTTTCACACACTGGAACAAGAGACATAAAAGGACAGCTGCCGTGCATTAGGCTACATGTTTATCACCTTTCTCTGCATTTTTAAAATACCTTTTTCCTTAATAAAAACCTCACATTTAATTTTTTAAAAAGTACTGACTTTGTTTTCTAAATATTTTGTTTTCATAGTTCTAGGTGAAATGTTAATGCCATTATAAAAATAAAAAGTGTCTGCAGGATTTTAATAGCTCAAATATGCTATTTATTAATTTATTTATATGCCTGCTTATGATGTTCAGCACTGACCGTTTCAGATAAAGTTTTAGTGATATAAACATTGATCCAGGGATGAAATGGTAAAAGAACCCAACAATTTTCAGTCAGGTCATCTGGACAGTTTCTTTTTTTTTTGTGCTGAAACATTTAACCTTCTATCCGGAAGGCTTCATCAGTCAAGGAAACACAACACAAAAGTGATTCTTCCCCCAAACAGCTTACTCCAAAGTGTAACAAACCAGTTATGTTGGTGCTAAGATGGTGTCTTTGGCACATCCCCTCCTCCGATGCTGGCCCTCTTCCTCATCGACAGTCATGTCAAACTGGTTCAAAACCAAAATAGTCCATGCTCAATAATCCAGGTATACAATCCAACAATTTTCAGTCAGGTCATCTAGACAGTTTCTTAGCACCAACATAACTGGTTTGTTCCACTTTGGAATAAGCTGTTTGGGGGCAGAATCAGTTTTGTTGTGTGTTTCTTTGATTGATGAAGCCTTCCGGATAGAAGGTGAAACGTTTCAGCAAAAAAAAGTAACTGTCCAGATGACCTGACTGAAACTTGTTGGATTGTATACCTGGATTATTGAACATGGACTATTTTCGTTTATAAAGAACATTTGATACAGCTCTAATGTTTATTATATTTCCAAATAATTTATTATTATTTTGTGATTGTTCTGTAATGCGTTTGCATATTGCTTTATATGCTATCTTTTAATTTTTACTATTTTATAATTTTATTTATGATACTACTAGGGCACCACGGTGGCGCAACTGATAGAGCTGCTGCCTCTCAGCAAGCAGGTCATTGGTTCAAATTCCAGTCTAGGGGCCTTTCTGGGTGGAGTTTGCATGTTCTCTCCGTGCATGCGTGGGTTTTCTCCGGGTACTCCGGTTTCCTCCCACAGACCAAAAACAAGCATGTTAGGCTGATTGGTGACTCTAAATTGTCCATAGGTGTGAGTGAGAGAGAGAATGGTTGTTTGTCTCGTTTGTCTCTATGTGTCCCTGTGATGGACTGGAGACCTGTCCAGGTTGTACCCCGACCCTCGCACAGTGACTGCTGGACATGGGCACCCGTGACCCCCGTGACCCAAAATGGAAGAAGCGGATAAAAGATAATGGATGGATGGATGATACTACTAAGGAGAAATGCACCAGAATGTGCTGTGGATGGATTTCAAATTTCACAGAGGTTTCTCTCACAGATGGCTTTTTTTTTCTGATTTAAAATCTAGATGTTTTGGATTTTAAGAAATTGTTTGTTAAAATTTTGTCTTTACAAAAAAAGAATATACAAACCAATGATTGTGTCCTCATTTACCTGAATCATGCATTTTTTTCATGTCACGTAAAGTGACGTCAATCAACCTGAGGTGGTCAGGTGCCACCCCAGCCATCCCTCTGGCTCCGCCTCTGATTCAGAAACGGCCTCCACTGTGTGATGATCATTTTACAGCTTTTACTGTGAAAAACGGGATGAACTGTATGTTCTATTTTCTATAGGCTTCGCCCTTTAAGGCTGTCGCTGGTGGGTTTATCCCTAGGCGCCCAGCGCTGCACTGAAAACTTTAGTCCACGCCCACCTGCTGTATGTGGGTCTCACCCCCGGT